CATCAATGTCCCATTTTGCAGGTGCTTTGCTGAACATTTACATCTGAGTTCAGAAGGTCAACCAATCACAGTTGTGTATCAGCCATTTTCCTCAATCATGTCAGATTTGAATGACAACTCTTTGAACATAAATTTCTTAAAAGAATCTATCTTGAAGAGACTCTGTGAGTCTCTTGACAAGGCCAATAATAAGGGATGGCGAAAACTGGGGGAAATCGTGAAAAGTGACAAGCGATTCAAAGTGAGGTAACAACTTTTTTCTCTTCACTTTTTCTTTTTAATGTAATATATACTAATAAACTCAATCTTTTTCTTACTGTCTTCTTCCACTCACTTGCACAGTCTGGATGATATGGATATGTGTTCTCTGAGGGCTTTAGAGGCGGACGGAAGTCCTTCCCGCAGTCTGCTCAAACTCATTGGAGATCAAGGATGTATGGTGGGTGAACTGGTGGAGTTTTTAAAGATCATGGGTCATACGGATGCCCTGCAGTGCCTGAAACCTCCAGGTATAACAGCCTTAGTGTAAACATGGTAAAGAGAGTGTGTATGTTTCAACAGTGCAATGCTGCATCACATTATCTAATGTTGATTGTTTTGTATATGCTCTGTACTATGTGTTCTATAAAAATTGTAAAAGAAAATGGAATTTTCTGTGGAATGGATTTAAATATGCAAAAATGTGTTAAAATGAAAATATTAATGTGTGGTGACACAAACAAAATTTCACAGGCAAAAAAGGTCAGTTGTCTATTGTCAATAGTCACAGCTCACACAGAAGTCACTTTAAGACCAAGCAGCTTTCTGATGGTCAATGTGGAAAATTAATATGACCAATTTGAACCTTTAGTGAAATCTGCGTGTGCCCTCACATAAAATTCCTCATTGATGATTTTTTTGCCCATGCAAATTCGCAGAACAACCGTAAATGTTGCTGCACCTTTAAAAAAAAAATTTGGTAACTGAAAGTATTACAACTTTCAAATGACATGCATTCAAATTCTCCTGCAATTTCTGGCATAGATTCAGTGCAGATATAGTCATAAGTGATTTATTTGCATTCATAGGCCAGTTTCAGTTGCTGATTTATGTTTCCTGTTCTCACAGGAATTCAAATCCTCGTCCAGCCGCAGTCAGTGGCTGTCATTGCCGGACACAACCTTCGTCTCAGTTGTTATGCTGTTGGTGCTTCACATGTGCAGTTCCAGTGGTTTAAGAAAACGGAAGAGGTGTGTAGATGTTTCATATTGCAAGTAAATAACATGACTTTCAGTCATTCACATGAATTATATAACCCTTCAGGTACATAACAGCTCCTCCCCAGACCTGGTGTTCAGTCCAGTCCGGCTCAAAGATGCAGGGTTTTACATCTGT